ACTTAGTAGTAACGTAGAGACTCAGACTGTCCCTATTTTAGGTTGAACTTGACACACACGACCACACACAAAGTAACATAAACACACCCTGGCACACACACATATGTGGACACACACACACACACGTTACATAGACACACATACACACACACACATATATGCATAAATACACATATATACATATACATGCATGTTATATATATCTATATATATCTGTATATATGTATACATATATACATACATATAAGCATATATATACGCATACACACATATGTACAAGTAGAAAATATATGAATGACAATGCATATCTTCACAATACACGAAATGTCTTTAACAGGTTTCGAATATAACATCGTCAGAAATGCACACACACACACACACACACACACACACACACACACACACACACACACACACACACACACATATATATATATATATATTATATATATATAATATATATGTATTTCTGGAGAAGGTATATTCGAGACGGGTTAATTGCATTTCTTGTATTGTGAAGATATTCATTCTCATTCATGTCTTTTCTACATTTGTCACATTGAATACATTTTAGAGATATATATGTATATATGTACATCCATATACATTTATATATATAGACACATATGTTTATATGCTAGTATATATTGCACACACACACATACAAGCACATACACAAACTGTATATGTTGACACATAGAAATCCACAGAGGAGCATACTCAAGAGCCGACAAGTATGTGTTTGTGTTTTAGAAAATGCATCATGCATGACCATTACGAGTTGACAAGACTGAGACATCAGTAAGTTATAGAGAACAGGAGTGAAAATTACCCTTATTTTGGTCAATAGAAAAGAAAAGATTAAAATAAATTGCCACGGAATAACCTAAGTTGGAATGTCATACAGATATCCTCAAATCTTTCTTACTTGAGGATATCTGTATAACAAGTAGTATCCTTATCTCACCATGTGGGCTTATCTAATGTATATTATCATTATTATTATTACTATTTTGGGGAGGGGAGAGAAAGAGAGAGGGAGGAAGAGAGAAAGGGAGAGAGATTCTTAACAATTCCCAGTACATGAGCGTTTATATTTGATATATGATAGGTATGTCTATGGGATACCTTATCCGAAAAATTTAACCAACTTGGTTTTGGGGAGATCTGGTGTTTATTTTAATCTGTGGTAGTCCTCGAGGATTTCATCTTGATCAGAGAGAGATGGAAAAAAGTTTAGGATATTCAGTACAGACTCTTGATCATGAAATCTATTTTGTTTGATGTTACACGTACAGGATGTTGATCATTCTGTTTGTGGCTTGGGTATCCGTGTGCTTGGAGTATGTTTGTTCTCCATAAATATGAATGATTTAGGTATATTTTCTTTAATTGGGGTTTTCTGACAATGGTGTTTTGTTTTCGTTTGATGTAGAAATAAAAAAGG